AGATCCCTCATGAGTGGTTTGGTGTTCTCCCAGAAATAGAGTGAGTTCTTGGTTTATTAGTTCATGGAGAGCTGGTTGTTTAAAGGAGCCTAGTGCCACCTCCTCTCTCTTGCTCCTGCTCTCACCATATGACACACCTGCTCTCCCTTCACCCTCTACCTTGGTCAGAAGCTCCCTGAATCCCTCACCAAAAGCAGATGCTGGCACAATGCTTCTTGCATAGTCTGCAGAACCATCAGTCAAAGAAGACTCTTTTCTTTATAAATTGCCCAGCCCCAGGTATTCCTTTATAGAAATGCAAAAGGGACTGATACAGTTATCATCTCAGGAGGTGCTTAATGAATGCTGAGAACTGCGATGAGTGGCTGACCAGAGCCTGTTTCAAGGGACCAAGGTCTGTGGTCTCAAATGTCCCACATCTCAGCATTGTGGCCCACAGTCCTGCCACCGAGATGGTGCTGCTTGTTTGTTGTGTTGGAGTAGAAGTTATAGTGGGACATACGTTTTGTCTCTTTTGCCTTAGGAAAAGTTGCAATCAAACCTACGATTCTCTGCCTGCACCATATTGACTAGGAGGAAGCTGTGTCATTTGGACTTAGTTAGAAGGACTGTAAGCCCCGTGGAGAAGACAGGGACCTGACTCCATCAGCCTTGTTTCCCTATGATCTAGCCCAGCACCCAGCACTTTCTTGGCATTTTTTAAATAAATGAAAAATGGGCATTAATAACTCTGAGGCTTCAATAATTCATTTTTAACTCAGAGTGCTCTACCCCTCTGGAGGCTTTCAAAGACTGACTGGGGGATGCAGAATCCCAGGGTCTACAAAAGGAAGGTCCTGACACCCCCTGACCCCTGCTCTCTGCCCTGAGGACAAACTCTTCAGCAGTAGCCAAAATCAAGTCAAGTATTTACTAAGGAGCTGGAATAGGTCACTGTTTGGGTTCTAGATTCCTGGAGAGCTTTGGAGGTACTGCAACATAGAGCAGATACGCTTTGCAAGAAAGCAGGAAGGCAGGCAAGGGAAATGTGCAGCATGGGTGCTGCCTAGGCAGCGGCTGTGACTCTGAGAAATAAAATTGGAATTCTGGTCCTGATTATCTGAACAGCGGATTGGGTAGACTGGAGAAGGTGGAGCATATGATTGAGGATCAAAGCTCGGTCTCCCGGAATGCCAGGCTGCTTCCCAGGTATGTGTCTATATTGTCTTTAATTCTATGTGCCTCCCACCAAACTCACGGTAGGTTCTCAGTGTACATACGTTGAATCAAGTGATGCAAAAATGAGTATTCAGATGTCAGGTGAGGAGGGGAAGGTCGGTTATCATGAAGGGACATTATGGATCTCACCCTTTTGTTAATCCATGACCTCCTCAGGTGTGTTCCGGTCACGTGTTTTCACCGTCATTGTCAAATCAAGTCAGAGTGGGGAGGCTCTGTAGCAGTGACTCTCAACCTGGGCTCCTCCGGTGACTTCCTCAGTGAGCTCTGTGCCACACCAAACAAGTCGCGACTTCCCATGGTGCAGCTGGGATTGAGGATCATGAAGCACTAGAGATGATCTCGTTCGGAGGGTCACAAATTTCAGGTTCATCATCTTCAACAGATACTGAGGATCCATGCCTAACGCTCCTGCACCCGAATCTGCCCACATGACGAGGGCCACCTGGAGGTCAGCAAGACCCCCAGATACAGAGTAAATGTTTGCCGACTGAACAGTTGTTGAACAACAACCATGGTTAAATGCACAGATTCTGGAGCCAGACTTCCTGGGTTCAAATCCCAGCTCTGCCACATAGTAGCTTTGTCACTCTGAACAAGTTTACCTACCACTTGCTGCCTCAATTTTCTCATCTGCATAATAGAAAATATAATCAAACCTACCTTGTAGGGTTGTAGAGATTAAGTGGTGTTAATTCACGTAGTAGAGTTGACACAATGAGCAAAGAATAAAATACAGGAACATACCTATACTAAAAAATTATTTGTTGTGTATCTGAAACTCAGAGTCAACTGGGTGCTCTGTATTTTTATTTGCTAATTCTGGCAACCCCATCGCTTAAAGTGCTAAGAAGAGTGCCCAGGAAGTGATGTTAATAATAAGCGTTTGCTATTACTATTAATATTATTGGATTTTTTTTTTTTATTATTCAGCTCACTCCATCCCCAGCCTCTCTGTCAGACTAAAGAGTCCTTCAGAACCATATTAATTTGGCTTCCAATAATTTTAATGCATGCCCATTTGAATGCAGGGTAGTTTAGAGCTTTTTATTACTAACCAAACACTGCTTCAAAAATAAAATAAATTTATGTTAAAAACGAGATCACAGTGGCAACATGTAAAATAGTTAACTGAACGAGATGTTTTTATGACTCTTCACATGTTTGACAAGTTCTCATTTCCATACAATTAGGATAACTATAAATTTTTTTGTACTTAAAAGAAGGTCGACTCAGCAACCCCTTCTCAAGCCAGTTCAGGTTAACAGTATCGGCTGTGGAAAATAAACTCTTATTAATAGAATATTCTTTAATTTCAGAATGGGGTCAGAGAATTAGTGTTTAAATCTTGGATTTACTATAATACTATTTAGCTGTGTGTCTTTGGGTCAAGGCATTTCTTCTTTCAGGAACTTTGCTCCTTTGTTTCCTAATTTTGAAAACAGGACCACCACATCATATGATTTTTTTCAAGGGCCATTAACTTTCCTTCCCATTTCCATCTGAGGTTTTTGTCTGAGCAGAAAGGACAACCACCAGTTACATTAGTTGTTACCAGGCCAGGAGGAATAAAAACAGACAATACCTGTGGTTACAGAGCCCTGGAACATACACTGTAACCCACAGTTCTCAGCTCAAGCTGCACTTTAGACTCATCTGGGGAACTTTAAATTAGATGCCTATGCCAGGGATCCAGCTCCAGAGATTCTGATCCCATTGGTCTGTGGAGGGGGCAGGCATATTAAAGTGTTGCTAATATGCAGCTGTGGTTGAGAATCACTGGCCTGGCCAGCCCCTGTGAGCTCAGTTTTTGTCATTATTTCATATTCTTCTCAAACTCCCCCTGAATCCTCCAACAGGATCACATGTCATGTTGCTCATGATGACTTGATTTTCATTCCCATGTGGCTCTGCTCATTATGATGCAGTTAGCAGGAGGAGAGAGCCCCACAACTCCACAACGTGGCGGCTGCAGTGTAGTCCCGGCTGCATCCTCCTCTTCCCTTGCCTGAGCAATGTGTGTTTGGCTCACCTTGCTTTTGGGATGCCAAGGAAGTAAACTTTCTGCAGCTTCCCCACACTGTGCCTTCATCTGACTGTCCGGGATATGTTCTTCTCAACCCACCAAGGTAGCACATTTCATTTCTTTGATTATTGGAAAATATTTTGAGCATGCAGAAGAATATAGACTCATTGAATAAACTCAGAAGCAGCCACCTCCCCATCTCTCAGACTGAACAGATGTTAATGTTTTGTCCAGAAATTCCTTTGTAGTCTTTCTAATCTCATACTCATCATGTTCTCCTAGGTGTTGCTCACTACTCTGAAATTAGTGAGTACCCCTCTTAACCAGGATGTTATATCCTTTCCATATATTCTAATAAATGACATAGAATACAATTTTGTATATTTTTAAACAATAAATTAATGGAATCACACCGAACACGTTATTCTGCAGCTTGCTTTTTCATTTGGCATTTTGTTTAAGATTTATCTCAATCCATTTTATTCATTTTGATAGTTGCCTAATGTTCCACTAGATAAATATCTAACACCTTATTTATCAATTCTTAAATATTTTCTTTCTACTAACATAACATTCAGAATATTTCCGAACACACAAATTCATATATAAATGATCCTACTGACTAAGGAATCTCATTCCTATCAGGAAAAATGTTTCATGATATACTCAAATGTTTCACATTCATTTATACACTGCATACTTACCTCTTGTTAATCATATGTTAGATAGCAATAAAGCTAATTTCCCTCTTAACTTCTAAGTAAAAGAAAACATTATTAGTAGTTCTAATATTTTCTTTCCAAATCCCAATGGCTTTGTTTTTGCTTTTTTTACACACATCTTGCTTAGAGGCCTGCCATTGCTCTAGCCAAATACATTTTATGTATTAATATTTATTAGTTAACATAATGTTTTTCTACCCTCTAAGATGACAGAATTCACTTCTGACCAATACACAGTAGAACCTATCGTTTTCCCACCTGCTGCATGCATCTTTTAAAGGTCTTCTCCCAATGTAAACATGCCCACATTGCCTTCCCCACTGCCTTCTCTCCTCATTCCTACAACAAGCCCCCTACCACAATCACGCTGTAAAGCCTATGTAATCCAATCGGGTTCTGTGAGTTCCCATTGGGCTTTCTCCTTATAGCCGTAAGTTCTGTCCCCCGCCAATTAATGTATTTCTGGATATAGCAGTGACACTAGGTATGTGCCATTTCAGAACATGTGAGGTTAGTCTGTTGCCCCTCCTCGGATAAGTAAGAGATTACTCACGCTAGCAAAATTCCTTGAAATCCCTCTTTCCCCACCTCACTGTTCCAGAAAGCACCTCTAGCTCCCCCAAGGGTTGAAAAGGTCTGGTTGCAAAATCATCCTCATTCCCCCTACTAGCACCCACTACGCAGACAAGGCCCATTCGAAATGCCTTTGCAGGTGATCTTGCCCCATTTTAGTGGCTGGTTGATTGACCCAGTTGAATGGATCCCTTGAGGCACAGTAGGAATTGCCAGTCTGTGGGTTTATGGAGGAGGCTTTTCTGAATTATACAAGATGACAGCTGTTAACAATATGGATTTGGATTGGAGCTGGGGGCCTAATGGTCTGGAAGACTGTGGGATGCCTGGGAATAAGTAAGGGCTTGCTGGCAGGTCCATGTTCTTAGCCCAAATGCTAGGGAAGGAGGCCAACTCAGTTGTGTGTTTGTGTGTGTGTGTGTGTGTGTGTGTGTGTTTCGCCCCTTCTGCTTGCTGCTTACCTTGTCTTAGGATGGGAGCTGAGTTTTCATTCCAGAATTTAATAGAAGCCAGGTAATCACTCAACAGACTGAGTTCAAAATCTTGGTTTCACACTTACAAACAATGTGATTTGAGGAAATGGCTTAACTTCTCTGGATGTTGGCTTCTTGTTCTGAAAGACAAGGACAAGGATAATGCTTCCCTTTTTTTATTGTGAGGATTAAATGGGAGAATGTCTGTAAAAGTACCTGGCACAGAGTAAGAGCTTAATAAACAGTAGCCATGGGTGGCATCTTTCTTTCCTTGGTATTTTTTGTATCCAGTTTGCCTGAGTTTAGACCCCAGCATGACTGGGTACCACGGAGCAAACTCTGCATGGCGCCTGGCATTCAATAAGCACTCAACACATGGGAGACGCAAAAACTATGATCCCTGAGTGGTTGTGAAATTGTTGTTGGACATTTTATTTAGATGTTCGCCCCGGTACTATAGTTGGTTTAATTCTTCATGTTTAAATTGTGTTGATTGACACTCCTTGTTGTAGTGGTTTGACAAATGATCTTTGAGGTTATTAATATCTTTGAGAGAGGATGGGAATATATGCACATATTAACTCAGATTTTTACAACATATATTCTTGCTAGTCAAAGTGTGGTCTAGAGGCCAGGAAGGTTGGGATTATCTGGGAGCTTGTCACAATGGCAGAATCTCATCCACCCCTGGATCTACCAGTTCAGAATTTGTGCTCTAACAAGATCCTCGGGCGATTTCAATGCACACAAAAAGTTTGAAATTGTATTTGCTAAATATATACACTACATATGAAAATACATTTTCATTCTTTTTTAGATAGATGTGTCTTCTACTTTCACATGTTGACTCTGTTTATGCCACAGGCACTACAGGAAAGTGAGTAGACCAAAGGCTCAATGTTACATAAAGCACTAACCATTTGAGTAATCTGCAAGATCTTTTTAAAATGCCATGAGCCACTTAAAGGAGAAACTGGATATTTTTTCCATGGGTGAGTCACTGATGACAGCTTTGAGCACTTTTCACATAACCCTTGAGTGATACACAATTTTCTGGACCCACAGAACGACCAAATCACCAGCATTACACCATGTGATGATAGCATCAAAGTAGGGGCTCTGTGTACTTCAATTCGAGGTTAATTTTGGAGGCATCAGCAGCACTTTTATTTTCTATGAGATGAAACTTACCTTGGGGGAAACTTCCTGAGCCACGGAATCATTCCATTTTTGTCCTCGAGTTTTTTTCTGGAGGTTCTAGTCCATAGGTTATCCGTGAGGTCCCACAGACATGGGAATCATTCCTGATTTCTAGGTGCAATAATCACAACACGCTGCTCCAAATAGTTCTGCAATCCACACAATGCAAATATTAGTAGCATGCTCTCTGCAGGGGGGTTAAGTGGGATAAGGCATGTTAAATGCCTAGCATGGTGCCTGGCAAATGGCACGTGTTTAGTAAATGTTAGAGGGTGCTGCAAACATCATAGGCGTATCAATGCCCTCCTTGCACCTCAGGTCCTCCCTGCCAGAGGCAGTGGCATGCAGTGTTGAGGAGCACAGACTTTCCTGGACTCGAAGCCTGGTTCAGTCCCTTCCTTAGTACGAATGTGATCATTGGGGGCATTTCTTAGCCTTTCTCAGACTCAGTATCCAAAAGATGATGCTAGGACCTTCCCCAGCTTGTTTGCAAGGTTTGGCAAATGCATACATATATTGAGCACAATACAGGTATATGGTAAGTACTGAATAATTGCTAGCTACTATTATTATTAATGTTGTTATCATCATCACCATAGTCATTTTTTTTTTTGGAACAGAGTTATGACATTCCAGGGTCCTAGGGTGTTTAGACTCAGCTTCCCTCAGCTCTCCTCAATGGAAATGCAAGTTCTTGTATGGTACTATCCACTTTTCCCCTCCATCGCTCCTTACCCCTAATTATTCGTTTTCTCATTCTTACTGCCTACACAAGGACTAAAGACCTAACCTTGATGTTACCAGCAGCATGCTCAAACAAACCTGATCCAACCACAGAAGTTAACCAAACACATACTTTCATTATAACTGTCACTTATATATTCAAACCATGATCATGTCCACCCATTCAAAGAGCACAATTCTTTAGACATAGGGAATCAAGCTTTTTCCAGAGGCTGATCCAAGAATAAATGAAATAGGAAACAATCTTTCAGAAGTCTCTTATTATTATACTGTCTATTTAATACAAATATTCTCTGGTGTGCATTATAATTGGGTATTGTCTGTTTAATATTGTCTATATGGTATATTGTCTGTTGAATAAAAATACTGAATGGTGTTAATTATATTTGGGTGAAAAGAACCATCTTGCATATTCATTGAAAGACATAAACCACCCAAATTCTGCAAGTTGAATGAATGTTGAATAGGAAAATATCTCTTGTTGCTTGTTCTAAATTTGCTTTCCTTTATTTTCTCAGGGCGTCTTCTTGTCTATGATTCAACTTCTTTGCGAAAGAGACAATTGCTTTTCCTTCCTCCCTGGAGCATGTGAACATAAGAGACAAGCTCTCCTCCCCAGGTTCTCATATAGTCCATATTTTCATTAAGAACCTACTGGTCACAAGTCTTTGGGAAGAAGCCTGGGCTAGTCCTAAAAGTCAGATTAAAACTGCCAGTGCAGTGCTAGGTCAGTGGCAATAAAGATAAGGGACATATCTGGAGAGATGTTCTCACCCTGGACAGATTATCAAAAATTTGTCAGTTTTTTTTGTTTTGTTTTATTTTCTAGTACATTTTCAGCTCCATGCTTTAGATCAGTGGTCCTCAAATTCACATGTACATCTGAAATCATGTGGAAGGTTTCTTAAAACACAGACTCCTAGGGTCTGTCCCCAGAGTTTCTGATCCAGAAGGCTGGGGTGGGATGGGTGGGGCTGAGAATGTGCATTTATAACAAGTTACCTGCAGGTTACCTGCAAGGACACTGCAGATGTTGCTGGTCTTTGGACCACCCTTTGACTACTATTGCCCTAGACATCCTGAATCAGAATGTTTTGAAATTCGAAAATGTGCATGTCTGTCATGCGTGCTAAGGAGCCGTACACCCAGAAGTTTAAAGCCACCAATGCAATGCCATGCATGCTTATTCTGATGCCAGCCCTGTGCTAGAGTCTGCACAGAAGATGCAGAAAGAGCCAGGTTCCACTTAACTCTGGAGCCCTGTCCTCCATGATCCCACATCCCTGCTATGTGTTCTGGTTTCACAGTTCTCCAAATTCAAATCTGTTCTGCATGTTCACGTCTTTGCATACGGTGTTCCATGTGTCCAGAACACTGTTCCCCACTCCTCTGCTTCCTCCTCCAAAGCCCAGTTTTGACAATGCCATCTTGCTCACTTCCACCCCCCTCTGCTTCTCTTGCTGTCATCCTTTGATTTTCTTTTAAATCTATTCCATCATTTATTCCTTCATTCAACAAATGTTGACTAGGCTTGTCTTAGGTGCCTGTCATTTTGCTCAGCATCTGGAATAAAATGACAAATAAAGGAGGCTCAGTCCTTCCTCAGGGAAAATCTTTCCCTCCAGGAAATTACAGTCTGGAGGGTAAGACATGAAATGAACCACTACCTCTGTGTTTTGCTGGGCTTTGCACACATCTTAATGCTGGGCTTGTGATCTAACACCAAATTAGTTGTTTTCTATGCTTTCTTATTGTCATAGACTGTGGTCCCTTGGAAGGCCAAATACACACCTTTTACTCTCTCTGAACTCAGAGCCCACAGGGAGTTGGTCACATCATCAAGTATTTTCTAAACGTCTTCTGAGTTCAGTAAAACATGGCTCTTCTTCACAAAGAGATAACAATCTGAAACTAACACAAACACAGCAGATGTGGACATCTAAATTATATTATTAGTTAGCATCAGAATTCCTTTATATGGGGGAACTGTTTTCGTTGAGAGAAATCCCTTGAGAAGTCACGTGGGGATTGAAGGGCAATTCTGAGTACCTAAACTTTGGAAAACACCAAGGCAATGAAAGAGAAAGCTACGTGGCTCTATATGAGAAGATGAAAAGAAGGTGGTTTTACTCCTGGAGTGGGAGGAGAAGAAATAGAAGAAATGAAACAAAAATGAAGAAAGCAAAGAGTGAAAGAGAGATTGAGAAAGAGAGGAACCTGCCACCAGTGGGATGAGGTGAGGCTGACACAGATGGGATCAGGTGCTCCATGGAAATTCTCTCTAGTCCTGAAATGACCACACATTTCAATCACAAAGATTTCTTTCTGAATTTTTGTGTGCTGTCTTGATTGGGACCTCTTTTATGTCTGCCCTGAACATTCCATAGTCTCCAATAAAATTCATCAACTCACAAATGCCTTAATGAGTGCTTTTGTGAGTGTTTTCTTTCATGGAAATAAAGGAAGGAGCTGAGTTTTGTGTCTGGGTCATCAGAGTGAGGGCTAGAGCCAGGACTCATGGAATGATGGTCAGATGACCTGTGAGACTAAACGACTTCGCTGAATCAGGACATCACTCAGTCGATAAATACTGGACGTGACTGTCACGTCCAGGAGGTCACTCTTATAGCCCCGGGGACACAGCAGTAAATACCATGGAATTTACATGCAAGTGTGGGGAGACATTTAGTACAACCAGGGTGCTGAATGTCAAGAAGAAAAACAAATTGGGGCAAGACAATGGTGTGACAATGGCACGTGGCAGCCAAGGAGAGCCTCTTTCAGCCGATGTTTGAGCACAGACCTGAGTGGAAACAAGAGGGTGAGTCGTGGACTATCCGAGGTAAGAGACCTCCAGGCAGAGAGAACAACTGCAACCACATGTGCCATGCCCATGTGTGGCACGTTTGAGGACAGCAAGGTGCTGTGTATCCAGAGCAGAGCGAGAGCAGGGAGCAGTGGAGGGAGGTGAGGTCAGCAGGTGCAGGGCCCAGATCCTGTGGCTACTGCATAGCAAGGGATCTGGGTTTTACCCTGACTGGGGTGCAAAATGGGGAACCACTGACAGGTTTCGAGCAGAGACGTGTCACGATCTGAGTTAAGTTTTTAAAGGCTTTCTCTGGCTGCTGTGTGGAGAATTGAATGGAAGTGGCAAGCAAGGAAAGAGGAACCCATTCTACTAAGTGAAGTATCTCAAGAATGGAAAAACTAGCACCACATGTGCTCACCAGCAAATTGGTATTAACGGATCAACACCTCAGTGGACATATAGGAATAACATTTATGAGGTGTCGGGTGGGTGAGTGGGGTAGGAGGGGATGGGTATATACAAACACAATGAGTGAGATGTGCAACGTTTGGGGGATGGTCACGCTTGAAGGTCTGACTTGAGGGAGGAGGTGGGGTATGGGCAATATATGTAACCTTAACATTTGTACCCCCATAATATGCTGGGAAAAAAAGAGTGGAAAGAGGGAGACAAAATTACCCTATAAATTCCTGGCACTCTTGGGGAAGGCTTTGAACTTCCTGTGGCCATGGAAATGAGGTTTATGTCAATCTATTGCAGATTGCATGTGTTTGGGAGATCTGATTGGCATCTGGATTTAGTACTCCTATTACTTCCGCAACTATTACTGCTATGACGAATAGTATTACTATTGCTACTACTATTATTACTACTGCAATTGCTGCTGCTTCTATTACAGGATAACAAACATTAATTATGTGTCGGAAACATGGAAGAGTGATTTACATACATAAATTACCTTCTTCACTTCTCTCAACAAACCTGCGGGATAGGAGTTATTTTTAGTCCAAACTTTGCAGATTAAGAAATTAAGGTTCGAGAATGTTGTGTGAGTCACTCAAAGTCACATAACCAGTGGGTGATGGCGAAGGCACTTAACCCTAGGCCCTCTGTCTCCAAAGTCCATGATTCTTTATCTCCATTCAACAATGGCAAACAATAGAGAACAATTGCATGTCAATGCAAATTATAATGCATATAAGGGGAATAATTGGTTATATAAAGGCTCATTCATCCAATAAATCATTTGTGTGAGTCTATTGTATGAAACAGGGGAGATATCATTATGGATAATGACAGAAGGGAAGATCTCTGGAAGGGAGAGAGCAGAAATGACAGAGCAGGAAGGAGCAGCCACCAGGGTGAGATGCCTTAGAGATGTGCAGGTGGAACAGCAGAGAGGTTAAGAACATGAGCCGTGCAATTAGGAGCAATATTCCCATCCCCATGTTCCTTTACCTGTCTTGCCTCAACTTTGTCATCTGCAAATGGGCATAAAAAATATTACCATTAAAAAATAGTACCATGCCTATGAGGATATACATGAGATAAAGCTTGTAAAGCTCATGAGACGCTTAGCACGTAGCAAATACCCAACAAAGGTTAATGTAGACAGAAGTAGATAAAATTAAGAAACATTTAGAATTTGGTGATCGATGAGGAGATAAGAATGCCCCCAAGTTTCTGGTTTAAGCAACTGAGGGGACAGTGGTGCCATTAATTAAAAAGGGTGCCCTTGATGGAGAACCAGGTTTATGCAAAACAAAATGGAAGTGTTGGTTCCAGAGAAAAAGTAACCTTATTTCCCTAAGAATGAAAGGAAATGAGAGACAGACAGAGGTATATAGGGAAAAAAGGAAGATCTTGTATCTTCTCCATCTTTAGGAAGAAATTGAGTCCTACTCATGAGTGTGGGAAATGCAAGTGGAAGAATGAGTATTAGAAAGAGAAAGATTATTTAACACAGTTGCAGTGTCTGTTCAAATCTCCCCGAAACAGAAGCTGAGAGAAGGACTTGGGTGCAGGTACTTTGAGAGGTTCTCTCTGAAATGGGATGAAGGAGGAGGGTGAGTGAGAAGGGGAAGAAAGGAGAGCTGGTGAAGGAGGCATCATGGAGCTGGTCACTGCTGCTACGGGCAACCAGACATCATCTTGCTGGGGTCCCCCTGAGAGCCGTGTAGAATGCACCGCAGGATGTCCCCGCTGGAGCCTGGGAGTCTAGGGCCTTTATCCGCTGACTCTCGTCTCCCGTTGGTTGAAGGCTGTCCTGTTGACGTGAACTCCTCTGCAATTCTAGGCTCCACCTAGGTGAGGCCATGGGAGCTGCTACCATTTTCCTGAGACAGAAAAGTGGAGAGACACAGTGAGAACTCAAGGTGGGTCCCCTTTTGGTGAGCATCAGCTGCGGCGAAAGCCCAAGGTGGGCCGAAGGTGCACGGCCGTTCTCTGAGTGAGTAGCCTTGCACTGACCCAGTTCTCCTCCTTTCTCACTTGTGGCTCTCAAAAATTAACTAGAATGTGCTGGAAGTACAACACCCTAAGATAGGGAGGAACTGGCTGAAACAGCCCAGGCTCTGTTCCAGTGGCCCCTCCCCAAGAACAGGCTGCCCATCAGCACTTTAGCCCAGTGAATCATGTTTCCCCCAGATACAAAACCCAAGCTGGACAGGTTTCCATAGTCCCTCAGCTGCAATACAAGTGCACGTGCAGCTACGACTTCATGCACCCCAGGCAGCTTTCCTGAGCCTTGGGGTACCAGCTCATCATGAATCCTTGGCTTCTGTTGTCTCTTGATGCCATCTGTGGATAGTAAATCTAAGTCATGTAACTTGTTATTGGGGGTGCTCTGTCCCACCAGACTCAGGTAAGTCTGTAAACCTGAGCACAGGGAACTTGATTCGAAGAGGGAAAGTGACACTGGATGTTAACAGCACCTGCTATAAAAATCAATGACCAATAAATAAACTTCAGATCTTACAAAAATGCTGAAATGTATAAAGACTTTTAGTGTCATTTGACGTATGAGGACCTGAGTCTCAGAAAGGTGAAATTAAGGCAATAAATTGGGGTTTAAATCCATGTTGGTTGGAATCCTAAACTTACATACTTTCCCCACTCACATGCTGCCAGCCTTCAGCAAAGAACTTTACCAAATGCAAATGGCAAAGGCATTAATGGGCCAATTCTCCCCACTACTAATTATTGGAATTTTGCTGACTTACAGTTCTTCAGACCAGAACCTAAAATTTATGTATTTCTTAAGAGAGTAGAAGAACATTATTCCTATATGTGCATTAAATAAAAAATAAAATAAAATAAAAAGAACACTAAGGAAAAAAGAGAGATGGAGAGAGTGGAAGAGTCTACAGAAAAAGGAGAAAAATCAGAGCCACATTGAATCTGGAATTGGCTATGCTTCTCCAGTTGAAGTCCAATGGATGGGAATTGCATTTCTCAGCTCAATCAAGAAATTCTTTACCTCCAGGAATACAGAGCTATTAAAGTTCCAGGCTTCTGGCCTCTGAGGAGGAATTCCAAAAATTCCATCTGTAATCTGCTTAGCTCAGTATTGTGTGCAATGCATCTAGGTATTTTTCTGTTTTCTTCTCTGACATGTCCTTCTAACACTATTTGGTCCTGATACCACCCTGTCTTCTAGGCCTGTCAGCCGTATCATATTCATCTTCTTATGGCTGTGCTGAAAACAGCAAAGAGAGCAGGCACTGCAGCTGCCGTTGACGTCTGGAACTCCTAACCCTCGACAGCCTTATGTAGGTCAGGCACAAGGTGGGGATGTTCCCCACCCTTCTCTAACCTGGGGCCTCCTACTGCCTGGTTAAGGCATTTAGAATTGTGCTGAATGTATTGCAATTCTGAAAAGAGAATAAAATTCTCTTATGGCCTTTGGGTTCTGAAGCATGCAAAGGAAAGGGAAGGAGAGGGAGGAGAGAGAGAAAGGTATGGAGCATTTGCTTATGCCAGCTACATCCTCATGGGCTATTTCATGTAATCCCATAGTTTGGTAACAGATTATGTAGCTGATACAAAAAAAAAAAAATGAGAGTGAATATTTAAGGTTCAAAAACCCATGCTAGTTGCATGATTTGAACTCGGGTGTCTGACTTCAAACCCAGATGGCAGACATATCACTTCCTGCCCCCAGGTAGACATCACTACTCAATCAGGCCTTTTATTCCATTGATTTCAGAATCCTCCTCACCTGAGAGTCCCAGACAGTCACTATTAATCAAGCAGAGAGTGGTATCCTTCCCACTTACCAAGGATTTGCCGGCCAAAGGAAGAGTCTCCCTTTTCAAGGAAGGCCACACCCATCACAGAACTATACTGTTACTTTTCAGAACATTCTTAAGGACAACAAGGCCGCCCCAACATTGCCCACTGGGATCAGGCTGATAGAGTAACAAGGAGGTTGCTGCACAGAGCTACCCTCCCATATCCCTCCAGCAACCACTGATAACATGTTAATGCATTTGCTTTCAGTCTTTGCTCACCCCAGGAATTTTGCTGTTGACTTGAACTTCATTGCGATCACACTGCAGCTGCATTTCAAACCCTGCCTCTTAAAAATGTTAATGTCAAAACAAAAGCATCAAACACTGGGCATCTACCCAAAAGATCAAATGACACTCTACAAATGAGACACCTGCACTCGGATGTTTAGAGCAGCACAGTTCACAATCGCAAAGGTGTGGAAACAACACAGGTGCCCATCAATACATGAGTGGATTAATAAAATGTGGTATATGTATACCATGGAGTACTATTCAGCTTTAAGAAACAACGGTGACATAGCACCTCTTGTATTTTCCTGGATAGAGCTGGAACCCATTCTACTAAGTGATGTATCTCAAGAATGGAAAAACAAGCACCACATGTACTTACCAGCAAATTGGTATCAATGGATCGACACTTAATTGGACATATAGCAATAACATTTATCGGGTGTCGGGCGGATAGGAGGTGGGACACGGGCAATATACATAACCTTAACATTTGTGCCCCATAATATGCTGAAATAAAAGAAAGAGGAAAAAAAAAAGAGTCTAAAACATTAAAAAGAAAAAGCATCAGACTCCCATATCATAAGAAATTCCATTTGTTAATTTTTATTTCTGTCCTAGCTATATGAAATCAAAGAAATAAGCCCATGCAGTCCCTTCTCCTACTATTCTGCAATTCTGTGGCTTAGGAATGATTTTTTTTAAAGAAGATATAAGAAATTGGCATTGCTATTCCGCTTGGCTTGACCAAGGGCTTGGGGTGGGGGGAGAAACGTTTTGGTGTTAGAAGCTGAAGGATCTCTCCTTCAGCCATCATGTCCTGCTCCACGCTCACAATTAATACCCATCTCCCTAGCCTCCTCCTTTGATGTCAGTAAAACTAT